GAGTTTAGATTCAAGCTTAGTGATTCGCGATTTTAGGTACTCATTTTCAGAAAGGTTTTGATTAAGCTCGATAGTTAGCCTTTTAAAAAAATTCCGAACTTTGGTTTTAGGCAAGGAATCGAACTTAGATAGAAAGTTTTCTAAATTTACCTCAAAGTTCTCTTGGTCGGATTCCTCGTCGGAATTAACCATAAGACATAAACCCGCATGATTAAAACTCTTCTCTTCTTCTTCCTCATCCTCATCGGATGAGTCTCCCCAAGCAGTCATCATTGCCTTCTTGAGGTCTCTATTGAATCCTTTGTCTACACTGGACCTCTGGTGGGAACCGGTCTTGTTCTTGTCGTAGGTTCTGTCATTTTTCTTTTGGGGACAATCTGTTTCCCTGTGCTCAAGGGACCCACAAACAAAACAACCTTGGTTATTAAAAGATTGAAAACCCTTTTTACCTTGCTTATTTCGGTTGCCTTTGAATTTCCGATACATATTCCCGAATTGCTTGGCAAACATGCTCAACTCTTCTTCCGATTCACTTTCGGATTCCTCTTCTTCCTCTCGAGCCTTGAGAGCTATTCCTCGCTCCTTCCTCACATTCTCGGCATCTTGTTCCTCTTGTAGGCCTAACTCATATGTCATGAGTGAACCTGTCAAGTCTTCGAGTGTCATAACGGACAGATCTTTGACTTCCTCTATTGCCGTTGTTTTTGGCTTCCATGTAGAGGATAAACTTCTCATAACTTTTCTTACCTGATCTTCCACAGAAATGATTTTTCCAAGTGCTGAAAGCTCATTTATAATATTAGTAAAATGTGCAATCATATCCCTAATTCACTCCTTAGGCTTCATCACGAATAATTCGTAATTACGCATAAATACGTCAATTTTGGATCTTTTTACACGTGAGGTACCTTCATGCGTAGCTTCGAGTAAATCCCACATTTGTTTTGCGGATTTGCATCCTAGAACCCGATTGTGTTCAGCCGGACCAAGTCCATAAATCAAATATTTTAATGCTTGGGCATTATACTCGAGTTTACAATAATCATCGATAGTAAATTCAGATTTAGGTTTAAGAATAACATTACCTTCGTTATCCGTATCAGTGATGACATAGTCTCCAACCTCAATTACATTACATACCTCATATTTCTCAGCTTTGATGAAGTTCTCCATTCGACTCTTCCAGAATTGATAAAATTTCCCGTTGAACATCAGTGGACGTTGAGTCGAGTACCCTTCTTCCAATCGTTCAACCGTATTCATATTGCCGGATCTTTTCCCAAGGTTTTACCCTTTATGTGGTGAAGAACGGCTCTGATACCAATTGATGAAACGGTTAGTAACACAAGAGGAGGGTGAATTGTGTTTCTGTGGAACTGTGGCAGTTTCTCGCACAGTTCTAGTGTGGGTGTAGGGAAATGCGAAATAATAAAAACACAAGAATTTAATGAGGGAAAATCCCTTGGCTCATAGGGATTAAAAAACCTTGACCTCCCTTGAAGGAATTTGAACAACTTCACTAAATAGCCAAAATGTGGTTACAAGGTAAATTCTCCTAGTCTACTCTTGAGCCACCCCAACTCTATCCTCTCTAGGAAGAGTTATGCATCTCTACCTTGCGGGTAGAGAGCCTCTCAGCTTTACAACAAAGCTCTCACACACACGATCCCAAACTGAGGAAGCTACACTTAGCTTTTCCTCGAAAACCACGTTACGAGATAAAGAAGGGAAAAGAAACTCTATTTAGAACTTTGTGCGTAGGTTCAGGTGCCTTGGACTTGATAACTCTTCTTAAGTCTTTCTCCTTTTTATTACTCTCTCAAGCACACCTTCTTGCTCTTGATTCTTCGAATATATATAGGTTACTGGAAGATACCTGTTGTTCCTCCTTTCCTTAGATAGTTGGTAGACTTGCCTTGATATTTTTGAATCACCTTCCTTCTATGTGGACTTTAATCATTCGGACTTATTGCATGTGGTAATTAATTCTCAATGCACAATATATATCGTAATATAGAATAGAAGGAAGTAATATATTTAGCTTGTCAAGCATGCAACGGTTCATATCATTTACATGGTAATAGAATATTCATTTTAGAGCTATGGTCAAACAAAATCATGGGCAATAAAATATTCATAGATAGATGTGCTGCAGCCAATTTTGCTAAGTGGGTCAGTCAACAATCATGGAGATGACAAGTCATTTATACGATCCATGTAATAAGACTACCAAGTGTTCAACGTGAGTGCTTAGTCATGCATATAAGTGTGCCACGTAAATTATAAACATATAGATGCAGGCACATATCAATTTATTTATCAAGTATGACAATCATTCATATAGACAGAACTAAGTTCGTTCCTCATGAAACAGGTAGTAGTTCTATCCAAAGGTCCACCTGCATGTATAGTTGCATAATGAATTATTGACATCCGTTTTAGACCAAAGGATAGCTGTTTCTTCTGTTCCAGTTCTTCTGTTCAACAAAACTAAATAATCAACAGTCGCCATTGACTATTTCACCAAATGGATAGAAGCAGAACCATTGGCCAGCATAACTGAGGCGCAGTGCAGGAGGTTTGTCCACAAAAACATCCTCACTCGCTTCGGTGTGCCGCAACAGCTCATCACGGATAATGGTACTCAGTTTGAAGCCACGGGTTTCCAGGACATGTTGGCCACCTGGGGAATCAAACACACCGCAGCCTCTGTCGCCTACCCACAGTATAATGGGCAGGTTGAAAATGCCAACCGCACCATCCTGGCAGGCTTAAAGAAGAAGCTCACGGATGAGGGCGGAGGCTGGGTGGAAGAACTCCACAACATTCTGTGGGCATACAGAACAACACCCCGCAGAGCGACGGGTGAAACTCCATTCTCACTATGTTACGGCTTTGAAGCTAAAGCTCCCACAGAGGTCACAATGCCGACCCAACGGGTCATCTCCTATGACCCCGTGAAGCACGAGCAGAACATGCAAGTTGATCTCAACTTCATTGATGAAAGAAGAGAGAACGCTTTCCTGAGGTCGGAGAATTACAGGCGTCAAGTCAAGAGCTACTACGACGCACGAGTCTGAGATCGGGAGTTCCAAGTGAGGGACTACGTCCTCAGGTGACGAACGACAAGCCAACCCACAGAGGGAGGCAAAATGGCCAAGAAATTTGAAGGACCCTACATCGTCACCGCTGTAATCCGACCCGGAACTTACAAACTGAGCACTCCAAAAGGCACGGAGGTTCCAAGATTATGGAACATCCACCACCTGGTGAGGTACTACCAGTGACCCAGCGCTGTGTAAATAATATAAATGCAGCAGTTATGTAAAAAGTAAATAAAATAATTTTATATTATTTCAATGAGTAATATAAAAGGGATGTTAATAGTGGAATGTAACTATGTAAATACCCCTTTGCCCCATAAAAATTGGTCGACTTTCACGGCGAATAAGATTGAAATTGCCCTTTGTGTTTTTTGAATTTGTGCATAAGGGTAAGTAGTCTAGTTTTGAACAGCTAATGAACTTTTAACAGTTTTAATCATCTGACTATTATGTCATTGATACTTTTAGTATTCGACTTTGAATTTTTTTCACTTTAGTCCTTCAACTAGTATGAGAAAGACACTTTTGGATCCTTGGTACCCATCTTAAGTATTTTCATATTTAGTCATTCGATTTTCATAAAAGTGACACTTTTGATCCTTCAATATTATAATAGTGACATTTTTAGTCCTTCATTTATTGTGTCAAAATCATAGTGGAAGGATTAAAAGTGTCAATTTAATAAAACTTAGGGGACTAAATGTGGGAAACTTGGAAGTCAAATACTAAAAGTGTCTCTACCACAATAGTCGGGCACTAAAAAGAAAAAATTTAAAAATCGAGTACTAAAAGTGTCAATGACGCAATAGTCGGGGGACCAGAAGTGGCAAAAACTCAAGGGCTAATTATGAAAAGGGAGATTTCTCAAAATACGAGTAAATGAAGCTTGAAATTCCAAAATATGACTGCTATGTTTTTATGAAAAAATTCCACTTTTGGTCTTATGACTATTATACCACTTCCACATTTAGTCCCTTACTTTCAGATTGTCCACATTTAATCCGTGACCATTATCCCCTCACCACCCCTCATCCTTCCGGCCAAAATTCTGGCAAATTTAATCAGATATTAGATATGAAAAACCAAATTTAATGCAAAGAATGATATGAAAAACCCAACCTTATATAAAATTTAATGCAAAGACTGATTCTGAGGTTGATAAATGGGCTAAATTTGCCGGATTTTTTGGCGGAAGGACGAGAGGTGGTGAGAGGATAATGGTCACGGACTAAATGTGAACAATCTGAAAGTAAGTGACTAAATGTGGAAGTGGTATAATAGTCATGGGACCAAAAGTGGAATTTTTTCTGTTTTTATTCCTGAAATATGACTAACATAACAGTATTTATTGTCATCTTATAGGCGTGACTGCCAAATAATTGCAGCACAATGTATTTAACATGACAGTATTTATTATAATTAATGTCAATATTTTTTAATCAAGACATTATTTTTCATACATGGCAGTAACAACTCTTATTTTGGAAATAAAAACATAGTAGTCCTATTTTAAAAGTCCAAACCTCATTTACTCCCGGCAATTTCCCTTATGAAAACTTAACAAAGAATGAACAAGAATATATAAATTTGAATGTAAGCAAAACGAATTAGATATAGACTAATTGTGTATGAAGATTGAAATGAGAGATTGAGAATATGCAAGGATGTGAGAATTGAGCATATAACAGGTATCCATTATTGAATTCCGCACCATGTTGATAAATGGTGGGTCGTATTATGCTGTTCTCCATTATCATTTTTGCAACTCTTTTACTGCTTCACAGCAAGAAACAGTCTTTATAAGCTAAAGATGATGATGAAAATGGGACAGCATCCATGTTACTATGTTACCCATATGAGAAGGCCACCAGCCAGAGTGTAAAGTAGATCTAATTTAATTTTTAAAGGGTTGTGCTGGTGTACGAAAGGTGTAACCAAGCATTTTTCGTAATTTTATTCACCCAATGGTCAAAGTTTGAGAATGAAAACTGAACAAACAAAGCTTTTTAAAAATTTGTAGAGTAAATCCACGTTCATACACATTACACATAACCATCCAATAGCATAGATTTAGCAGTTCATTTCATAGCTCTCCCAACTCTGGTTGACTTGTTAATAGAACTCTCTAACACACAAGCTTCAGCAAATCACATTTTAAAGACAAAAGAAAATACAAATGACCAAAGGCTGATTAAACGACACAATTTCAGTTAGAGACCTAATTAACATGTCACACAAGCGCAATACTGCTCACCCCACCGGGTGGATTGCGAACCCCACCATAGTAGTCCCGAGATTCTGCTTTTCCATCGGCAAATATATTACTGCCACTCATTTCTCTCAGTTTTGCTGAACTTAGATGCTTATCCGCCGATGTTGGGGGAGTATCTCCCTTGAAGATCCCATTCCCTGAAAGTTCTGCAAGCTTCTGGCCCGGAATTTTTTTTGCTGTCTTGCAAATCGCTTCTTTACTGCCTTCAAGTTCCTGTGAGATATGAATACAAGTTCAATATAGTGTATATATTTGCATCCTAGAAAATGCTAGGGAAAGATGATAAAATGTTATGTAAATTTACTTTATTCTGTTTGGATTGATCACTTATAATGCAAAAAGAATGAGAGAATGATAGATATAAAATACTCCGTAGATAAAATGAGTTTGAGCAAATCACAAAAAAAAAAAATGAATTGCAACAGTTTTAGGTATAGAAGTCACATACATGATTGGGAACAGGCTCTCCAATTGTAATGCTTTCTCTTAAAGCCAATGCCCGGGCAGCCAAGGGTCGAGGCTTAATTTCAGGTGGAGGGGCGAAGATGTCATGGCCACTGAGCTCTTTGTTTTTTGCTTCGGAAAGATGCTTGTTTAACTTTGAGTCTGGCTCATTTTCTAGGCTTCCGCTCAGTTCCCGCTGCTTTGCCACTTCAGGCAGAGTGGTTGGCTTCTTTGTTGAAACAGTTTCTTCCTCCGCAAAAGAAATCTGACTCATCCCAGAAACAACTTTCTGTAGGGACATATATACATATTTATAATTATTGATTAGAAAGGTGTGTTTTATAAAGAGAGCTTGAGATGAATAATACTTCCTCTGTCCCCCATAAATCATACTCCAAACCCGTTATTGTGCACAACGGAAGAGTCTACTTTGATAAAATGAAACTAAGATAGCATGAAATTACTCTCCCAAATGCCACACATACGTTGCAAAGAATTTTTTAATAAAAGTAATATGAAAAAATAGATGTACTCGTTTAGCGTGTTACAATTGTATTATGGAAAAATTAAAAAGTTGTACATTTTGTCAACGTTTTATTTGGGACGGATGTAGTAATATCTATTCATTTTTCCAAGTTTTTTAATTTATGGGAACAAAAAAAACAAAAAAGGCCTCCTCCACAATGCTATTGATACTCATTCATGATCATAACAAAGCACCTGATACATCCGGACCCCAGATTTGTTGCTTTGAGTAATGTTAGCGTTCTCAGATTCTTGTAAGTCATTTTCTTCAGTTGATGCAAAAATTCCACTCCCTGTCATCTCTTTTAATTTGTAACCTGAGCACGGCTTCCTGAGAAGATAAGAAAAGAACCATGAAGTAACTAGTGGGTCTGGTTTGTAAAAATCTGAGGCTCCGTACAATAATATTATATATAGAATTCAATGAGAACCAATAGAAGGATTTACTCTAATCAATGGATGTTTACTCAAGAAAGCAGGTACAAACATTGTTGGGAGGAAGCTGAAGATATAGATTGCTAGTTCACTTGGCATAACCATGACACTCTAACTAAATGACATCAATGGGGCAAAATGAATCCCAATATTGAAAAATAATAAATACTCCTCAACAGTATCGCAGTGGGGCACAATCAATGACATTTGAGATACACCATATGACTTGAAAAGAACAAAAATTACTTAATTCAGATTTCCATGGTATGAATGTATTCCTGCGTTTTAGTCAGACATTCAATGTTCTCTGACTCCTAATATATAAAGATTAAGAACAAAGAGCAATAGATTGAAAAGCACATTTTTTGGGTTAAAGGAGACTCAAAACTCATTTGGTTGGCAAACAAGATTAAGCATAGACGAGGGTATGGTTTTGACCTTTTATTCAAGCTCTCGACTTCATCATCCGTCACTTGACCTCCGAACACCACTTTCTGGATCCCATCAGATGGCTGGGATTTCATTTATAACAACAATTTACAAAACAGAACCAAGCTTTAGCTTTACATTTCAAAATACTCCAAGAATTCGAAAAAAACTAACTTGCAAGACTAAAACAGAAGTACATAACAGAGGAAATGGAAATCGCGAGCCGTGTATGGAGAAGACCTGGTGGGAGCGAGAAGCAGGAGTAGATGCTGGAGGGAATTCCGGCGGATTCTCGGGCCAGGCGAGCAGATCTGCCGTTGAAGTATGTGACTTTCTAACCGGAGTGCTCCTCTCCATGGTTCAAACGGCTCCAATCAAGAATTCAAACTTCAGCTCACACTTGGGATTCCTCTTCACTGCCTAATCGGAAAAGAAGTTGTCAGATCTCTGTGAAATCTGCTGCCTGCTACTAGTTACCTCTTCTCTTTCAGGATGTTTGTTGGGAGGACTTGGGAGCTACGTAAAAGCTGTAGAGCGAGAGTGGATCGGAAATATATGGGGTTTTCTAAACGTCGACGTTACCTCTTCCTCTAGTGGGTAAAGATGTGGGCGGTAGAAACGATAAAGTACGGAGCATATATGTATACTGTAAATCATCAATACTTTTAAGTTACGGAGTATTAATTAATTGATCGATTATTATCACTTTCGTCCAACGACTACATTACGGGAGATTCGATATACCAACTACTCCGTATAGTAAAGGATAGGTTTCAAATTTTTTTGAAAATACTACTCCCTAATTCATATACCTTAATTCACTCTTCTTTCCCACAATAAAATTGGCAATTTAACTTTCAATGTTTTCAAAAATCACTTTAGCTGTTAATTCTGTACTTATGTTTTTGTCTTGCAAGTTAGTCTTTTTAGTTGACCCGTCCCGTCTTGCAAATGGGGCGGGTCTGGCCCGAGACATTTGGGGCGGATCTGGCCCGCCCCGTCTTGTAAATGGGGCGGGTCCGCCCCGTCCCAACTATATGGGGCGGGTCTGGATCAATACTAATACCCGGGTCTGGCCCGGCCCGTCTTGTAAATGGGGCGGGTTCGCCCTGCCCCGCCTATACAATGGGGTGGGTCCGGGTCAATACTAATACCCATCCCGCCCTGCCTATACAATGGGTTGGGCCAGGACAGGTCATTGCGGGTCGGGTTTTTTTGACACCCTAATATATATGTGTATATATACCTCTAAAATTTATACTCCGTAATAAATTAAGGTTAATTTTTTACGTGAAGATACACTCATGAGGAATCTCTGCTCACTCGAGCCAAACACGATGGTATCATTGTGGCACTTTCATAATAAGAAGAGGTCACATGTTTGAAACTCATCTCAGTCAAGGATGTAGCATTTAACAAAACAAATACTATAAGAAATGAGAAAGTGCAGACAAAAAAAACTACCCACTTGAGCGAATTGAACACATTTTATCTCCTTTTTGAAAACACACATTTTTATCTCTATGGACAAAGTTTGCAAAATAAGACCAAAACTGATTCAAACTTAAGATGACAAAATTACAATTCATGCCGATGAAAGTACATGCCACTTTAATGAATGATGGATATAAGAGAGTCCACGATATGGATATTTAGAACATCTGCAATGCTACAATGTGCACGGTGCACATATGCCTTCTGAAATAGGCACATAAATATTACTACTTCCGTCCCAAAATGATGCCTTGGTCAGAATCAATGTTGGGAACACCCCTAAGTCTCAAATATGGGTAATTTTATTATTTTGCTGAATCGATTAATTCATAAGATTATTCACATCCATCCATCATAAAATTTTAAATATGAACTTTCTCAACATGGAAATAGTGCATAGACCCCGTTAATACAATTTTCATTCCATTCCAGCATCATAAAAATCATTTAATTAATTTTCTAATTGATTTTTAAGCTGAAATTTTATGGACATAATCTACACTTTATGGGGAACATGCTAACAAAATTTCATCAAAAATTTTTACCCAAAATCTCCTCAAATAGACAAGTTCAGATGGTGGTTCCCGTCCGAACTACTTGAAGTGATCATTACTACTCATAATGATTATGCATATATATATATATAAACATATATATATAAACATATATATATATATACATATATATATATAGGGAGCGGTTCCGGTAAGAACGGACTCCCAGAAGAGAAATGAGAATGAATCTGGACCGTTGGATTGTATTATGTGGATCTGGATTGTGCATTTGGTGAAACTGAAATGTGCATTAGATGATATTGAAATGTGCAGAATAAAAAATAAAACTCAAGTGTGCATTAGGTGAATCTAAAATGTGCGAAATAAAAGGTACATAAATAACATCACATCGTACCTTTTATTTCAGCACATTTCAGTTTCACCTAGCGCACATTTCAATTTCATTTAATGCACAATTCAGGTTCACATAATGTCACTGTATCGTACCATTTGTGCTGCACAGTTCAATTTCACCTAATGCACATTACAATTTCATCTAATGCATATTGAATTTCACTTAAAGCAAATCTAACGGTCCAAATTCGTTCTCATTTCTCTCTTAAGATCATGTTCTTATTTGAACCAAAACCTATATATATATATATATATATATAGATTCAGGATCAAGTGAGAAATACATCTTAGGAGAGAAAAAAGAATTAACCACAACCATTAGATTAAACCTTTTAAAAGAAACGGTTTCTCTATCGTAAAGGGCACAATAGATATTTTATCTTGTTAGTCATGAACATACGTTGCTTTCCATAACTTAATCCCTATGATTTTGGTCCAATTATAACTCTTTGTATTTACATTCCTCTTCATTATTACTTGTTATACACATGTATAAGTAAGTTTGGACTTTGCATCACCATTTCTTTCTCTTAAAATCTCCTACGCAATTATGATTGTCTTTGTAAGAAATATTTAATTGATTTCATCATTGATTATTATCCTTCTTAAACATTCATCTCTGGGATTTAGGAGTTCACAAATCACAATGCATTATGCACACCTATACTTCACTTAATGCACATTAAGTTTACTTATGCACATTTGTATTATGTACATGCAGTAACGTACGTAGTCCATATAATGAAATAATTTTCATTGAAAGGAAAAGTGCATTTAGTAGTAACAAGTGTAAATGTATCATTTTAGAAATTGTAATAAAAATATGCACCTTTAAATGTATCTTGATGTACATGTTTTTTCGTTTGGATACAAAGTTTCATTCATTAGTGGTAACATGTGTCAATGCATCATTCTAAAAATTGTAATAAAACAATGCACTTTTGAATATATTTAAATGCACGTGATAAAAGTGTTGGGTGTGTTTCGGAAAAAACGAAGAAATATTAATTAAATAAAATTAATTAATAAACAAAATAGCTAAAAGAAAACAGAAAATAAGATGGAGCAAATTTTAGCCAGAGCTCGTGCTACGCACGATGTCCTTAAAACGTATTCGTCGCCTCCCACGGTGCTAGGAGCGTTGCAACGACTGTTTCCCAAGATACGGTGGCTAACGAACGATCGTTTGAGCACACAAACGAAAGTCCCGGCGAACTGGAACAATAGCAGAACACTAGGGAAATTTGGGAGTAGCTGGAAGAGTTTTTAGCTCAAGAAAACGTGAGGAAAGTATTGTGCGTTGTCAAACCGTGTGTTTGTTGCAAAGCACCTGCCAGCTATTTATAGGAGGATTTGTTGTGTGTTAAATGGGGTGTTAATGGACCTGAACGTTGGACATCAATGACAAGTCCGTTGGGCATTGAATCGTCCATAAACTGTCCATTTAACACAGCATTAAAAGAGAAGAACGTTGGGCATTAATTTTTGTAACGAACCAGAAGACCTTCTGTTGCGAACAGAAGGCCTCGAGGGACTCTGTTGCGAACAGAACACTAGGGAAATTTGGGAGTAGCTGGAAGAGTTTTTAGCTCAAGAAAACGTGAGGAAAGTATTGTGCGTTGTCAAATCGTGTGTTTGTTGCAAAGCACCTGCCAGCTATTTATAGGAGGATTTGTTGTGTGTTAAATGGGGTGATCGTGAGGCCCTTGTGTTGTTGTATCACATAGCCTTCGGCTATCATATTCCCTTAGCTGTAATATTGATTGGGCCGGGGGCCCAATCTTTAGGACTTAGAATTTTTTCCAAGCGTAAATTGATGTTGAGCTTCCGGATGTAGATCCCTCCGGGTATATGAATAGGACCCTTCGGGTGATCGTGAGGCCCTTGTGTTGTATGAGTTTTTGGCCGAGGGCCAAATATGTGGGACTTAGAAAAATCTCAAAGTGTGCCGTGGATGCTGAACCTTCGGCAAGTGAGGAGTCTGTCCGAGGGGCAACTGTTTTGGAATAAGCCCCCTCGGTTGGCCTTTGATGATTTGTAATAGATGCCTTTGGTTGTCCCGTGATATATTAGCCTCCGGTTTGTTGTCGTTTTCCGAAGGTGCGGACTTAGGAAAAGTGTGGACGCCTTCGGTATTTGTTTGAAGTACCGTTTAGTGGACTTTGGATAGTCCAGTCCCTTTGTTTTTTTTTTTACCCCGGAAGGTCAACCACCAAAATCAGTGGGGTAAATGTCGGGGGACATTTACCAGATTTTATTAAAAGAAGATGCAAAGTACAAGAAAGAGGGGGACTAGACCAGAACCTCTTTCAGAAAATACACAACAAAAGCGAAACAGAAAAGAGCGTTAAAAACGGAGAGAGGGAATACAAAACTTGTCATTATAATATGCTCTCTTGATTGGGCCAGGCAGATCCGAAATATTTGAAAAAACAATAAGCTGGGCTGAATGAAGTTGGGCCAGGCAATGAGCCGCCCCATTAGCTTCTCGCCAAACATGATGGAAACTGACCTGTTTCCTAAACGAAACCAGTATCATTTCCTGAAGGATAACCCTCCATCTCCCCATGCGTCCCTCTTCCAACAACCTTACCGCTTCCGCCGAATCCGTTTCTACTTGGAAGGCAGAGTAACCGGCATCCAGCGCCCACTTCGTAGCGAAGCACAGAGCTTTCATCTCAGCATCAACCACCGAATCAGCCTGCACAGGGAAGGAAATGGCGAAGACCAGTTCGCCGACCTGATTCCGCATAATCGCTCCTCCGAAAGCACCTTGAGGTAAGAACACAACATCTGTGTTCAATTTTATATTCTGTGGTTTGTTCCATTTGATAACCCTTGGTATTAGACCACCGAGTCGAAACCTGGTCGGGATAAGGTCCTCCTCGTAGAGAATATTTCCAACCTCACTGAATTTTAGTCTTCCCAAGCTAGAGATCCACTCTTTAGTAAATATTTTGATTTGGGCAATAAGAAGCTCCGGGGTAGGCGGTTTTGTGACCGAGCCCCAAACAAGGCCTGCGTAGAATTTCCAAATATGCCAACAAATTATACCTGGTAGGTTGTGTTTGAATAGATCTAAAAGCTTCTTGCTACCTGCTCTTAGCCACCAGCATATGAACACTTGCCTTATAGTCATATCAGGAGCAAAGTTTGGAATCCCAAAAATTTTAAAAAAAATAGTCCCAAACTTGTTGAGCCACAGGGCACTG